GAGAAGACGCTACCTGGTTAATATTAAGTTCAAATCATTTGATCTTTTTATGATTCTTGAACACTTTACAGTCTTGTTTATTCTAATCACTGTGCTTCTTCAGACCAGGGTGAAATACTGGTTCTCCCAAGAGACCAAATATTGGAGGTGGGCAGCACAGCCACATTCTGCTGCATGGTGCCAGACGGGGAAAGTATTATAACAATGTTTCTATATGACTACAAAGGCACTAATGTAACAACTACAAAGATCAGTGAACATGTGCACTCCCTGACTGTTCACCTGGACCAAGAATCAGAAAACTGGAGTGATGTAATATGTGAAACAACCAAAGGAAACATCAACGGAGCCAGTTTTCATGCCAGCTGTAAGTATGATGTAGCATTTGAGATTGTGGTTTCTCAAATTGATCTTGTAAATAAATGTTGGTTTTTCTGTTTTTCCTGGTATTTGGCACAAACTTAGACCCTCCTGATGACAATGATCTTAAGTGTGAAACCCGGGATCTGGAATCAATCGATTGTTTTTGGAACGTAGGAAGGGCAGCAAACGAACATCCTGCAATGGAAAGAACATATCAGCTCCAAGGAAGGTATAATAAGACCCAACCACCCCTAATATATCTACAATCTCAAGGTGTGCACTTACTGGACACCTTGTTAAAAATCAATGCAGACCGTTTCAAATTTAGAAGAACAAAAAGTTGATGAACCGTACTTTTAGATGATCTCGATGATCTGTAGTCAGAAGTTACAAAAATGAGCACTTGCTATGCAACTTCAATTGCAGGATGGTTTATTGAAAAAAAACCCCTCAAAAAATAGTAGTCAGGAAGCAAAGTGCTCTACTGCGAGAGCATGCAGACTCCAATGCAATCACAGACAGACAGGCTGCCCTGTTTACTACTTTTAGTTAGAGTTAGTTAGAGTGAAAATCTACAACATATCAGGCCTTGTCAAAACATTCCCTTTTAAAGTGCCCCACTCTCCGTTGTAAAATCCATGCATATCCAAGCATAAGCCACACACACACGCAGAGATGGTTAACACATTATTTGAAAACTAAAATAAAGTGCCCCGAATAAACATAGTCCAAAAAACAAATTGATTAATTGATTATGGAATAAACAGTAGTTATGCTTCTCACAGTATGTAATGCCATATAGGTCAAAAGTCAAAGTGAGTTACAAAGAGAACGTCCTTGATGAAATCACAGTGGAGTTGTTTTCAGGGCTATTCTTCTTTAATTTCACTTTATATGATTTGCAGTGAAAACTGCACACAGTACACCTACAAAGTAGTTTCAAGCAGTTGAGAGAAATGCTCTGATTTAAAAGACCATCAAAGCAAAAACATTTTGGGATCTATAAACTAAACTTTAAAGCACCAAACATTATTGATTAAGCAATAAGGAGTTCAGTCAATGACAAATTTGAAATGTACTCTTACTTTGCTTCCTAGTGAATGTGTAGTCCTGCTAGCCTCTGCATTTATTTACTTGTAAATATTTAAGCAGTGTACATTTTTTTACATTTTAGCTCATGCATCAATGGACGTTCAGGTAATTGCTCGCAAAAAGTGACGGTGGATGCAGTTGAGAAGAACTGGACCTTAACAGCAACTAATCGGCTGGGAAAGCTCGAGATCCATGACAAGGCAAACCTGACCAAAAGAGGTAAAGCTTAAAAGAAAGAGGTTAAAATGACTATTTTTAATCCTTAAGATCAGCTGATTGTTGTGATCTCTTATTTCAGTTCGCATGGTCGCTCCAGACAAAGTAGCGGCTTCAACTGTGAACCCCAGAAACATCAGTCTGAAATGGAGCTGGACTGTGAAGAAGTACAGTAATCTCAACATCACATGCCAAGTAGATGTCAGCGATGGAAACTCTAATACCAAAGTGAGTAGATTAAAAAAAAGAAACCTTAGGTATTGGCTTTTCAAAGTAAAAGTCTCCACTGAAGTCAGCTAACATAATTCTTGTCTTTGCAATGTTTCCAGACTGAAAACTTTGGAGTTGGCCTCACAGCTGCAGTTATCAAGGACTTGATACCACACTGGAACTATGACGTGAGGGTCCGATGTGGAACAGCACAGCATTTCTGGAAATGGGGTGACTGGAGCAAAAGTGTCAAAATCTGCACAAAGGGTGATGGTAAGTGTTTTCTTTAAAAATCAAAGGGTTTTAAATAAAACTGCATGATGAGATACAGATGAGTCCAATCTTTTATACAGTCTGAGTAAAGTCAGGTCTTATGAAAGTAAGAAAAAGTTGCTGCTTCTCAACTGATGTGACTTCAGTAAACATTTACCTGATCAGCTTTTGGTCTCAGTTGATTGATTAAAGTCTCTTACTGAAATAAATGTGGTGCTCATTTTGTAAATCATGGTCCCACTGGAGTCAAAAAACACAGCAATCTATCTTTTGATTGATTATGAACATTTCTAGAAGAAAAATATTTAATCCGTAAGGTTTGACTCCTGATTTTGTTTCTCTACATAGAAAGATTAGCTGGTTGCCTGAAGATCATAAAGATGTGTTTATGTTGTAATATTGATGGTCACTCTGTCTTTATACAGTCGCTCTTGGAGCTACCAGCCAGATTGAAAAGAACCTGAACATCAGTTCGTACACCTTCATGGTAAACGCACAAACAGCAGTTTCATCCAACACCGTTACCTTGAATCCATCGAGTAAGTTACTTTTTTCATCTTGAAGACTATTTTCTTTAATTAGACTGTCAGCATTTATCATTTTCTTTGATTTACTTGATGCGTTTCATTGTTTTCACCAGCTTACTTGACAGTGCTGACCTTGATAGCCCTGGGAGCAGTTTTTATTATTCTGTCCATCTGCACAATCCTCTGCTACAGACACCGGGTGTGGTAAGCAGTGCACATTTGCCTCTTTTGTCTCCAAATCTTTGTTTGGCATTTATTTTCATGCATTCTATCACCCAACAGCATCAAGCACAAAGAGAGCATTCGGCTAAACATGTCAGTTGTGGTCCGATTTGGGAGGGAACCACAAACTACAGAATCCAACATTGTTTAGGCAACATCACACACCGATTCAATATTAATTTTAGTGACCCCATATTGACATATCTGTAAGAGAATCAGGATATCTGTCAGGGAACTGTTGTTTCTTTTGTTAGCTGATATTTCTTGTGTGTTTCAGGTCAGTTTATGGATGCAACGAGGAGTGCAATAAATTACTTTCTGTCTGGCTGCTTAATGCTACCTCTATACTCCACACAACTGTACTACTCAGTTCTTTATTAGTTTCCTTGTATATTGCATTATCATGAGGTCATTTTCTCTGTTTTTCAGAATGAACATGTGTTTGATCATCATCACTTTGGTCAGAGTCACTACAGCGAGGTCATGGATGTTCCTGAACTGCATGATAATTTCTGACCACTAGAGCCTGTTGGTAGCCAGGACCTGATGTGTTGTACCTTCTCTCCATCTTCCAAAGATGACTACAATAGGCTTCTGCAGAAACCCCGGCCATGCCCCACTTTACCCACAGAGGAGTAACCACACAGTCCCATTTCCTGTGTGTCCACATACATTTTATTAACACCAAGACATCTGCATAGCATCTGCATCTGGATTTGTGAACACATTTAAACTTTACACAGGAACTTTAGACATCATTAACTACAACATAGTTAATCAACTTCATTATCTTCTTCGGCTAGGGTTGGGGCTGGGTTTTGCTTCAGTCACATGAGCCAGTCAATGGCTCTCTTTCACAGCATGTCTTTGAGCTGTCTTCCTATCCTCACCCCAACAGATTGTGACAGATGATTGCCCCTCCTTGAGCCTGGTTCTGCTGGAGGTTTCTTCCTGTTAAAAGGGAGTGTTTTATTTCCATTGTTGCTCAAAGGGGGTTGTCTGATTGTTGGGGGGATTGTTGATCTTTACCTTACAATGTACTGGGCCTTGAGGCAGCTGTTCTGATTTGGCTCCATATAAATAAAATTGAATTTATTGATTAGATAGTTTGTATTCTTTAAATTTGTTTTTATTGTTACCTATTTATTGGTTTTATTGTTATGTATTATAAATGCTGCTACCAAGAGCTGCTTCTAACATCTGATGCTTAATGACAATAAAGGTTTCTGATTCTGAACTGAATTGATTAGTACCTTCTGAGGACCAAAGAGGCACATACTTGTTCAAAACCTGTAAAAGGTATACATTAGCACCCATTCTTTTATTTTTTTAGGTGCAAAATCAAAAGGTTGTACGTGGTTAAACAGACTGTTGCGACCAGCTGTTGCTCCCGATCCTTTGATTCTGACCTGGTAAGACACGAGACAGAATACTTCACTTCCCATGTTCCTCTTTATTTACACATGCGCATGGAGAGATGTGCACAGTGCTCCTGCAGATCTGAAGGACGCTCCTTCAGTCTGTTACATTTATACTCTAAGCCCACAATACATTTAGAACACCTTTGACCTGACCCCCACATGTGACTATAATCACTGAATCCATACACACTATCCTATGACCATTGGTATGTGCAGCTGTCTTGTCTCTCACCTACATATATCCTGGCTCCACATTCCTCCTGCTATTCTCAGAAATGAAAAATGTCACATTGCCCTGTTTATTTCCCCGTTTCCTGCTTAAGGCCAGGTCAGAAAGCGGTCACAGTGCAGATACATATGGACACATTCTGGCGCCTCTCTTCCTATGTTGTCTATCCCCACAGTTTCACATGAGCCATAGTTTCACATGATTTTCCCCCTTGCTCAAACTATTCATATTTTATTCTTCTGCTGCATCTCTGCAGACAGAGGCCTCTCTCTTTTTTTTAAATCATGCAAGCCCTACGTATTATCCACACAGAAAAGGAAAAATTTGGTAAAATATTATTTTTTCTATGAGATTTGAATCCCTTCATGTTTGAAAACCACTCCTCTAAGACACTGTTGTACCTTCGTGGTCTGTTCATTACACAGACTACTGTCCAGTCATTCCTGCCTCTCTTTAGGACACAAAGAGGAAAGGTTACTGGTCTTATGACAAAACGTATCCCTCAAGTTACCTTATTTTCTAACACCTCAGTCCCCCAACCCTAGAGACTCGTCAGAGACCATCTGGCGACCACTGGTTGCCACGTAAAAATGTGTGTTTCCTGACTGGCTTCAAATGGGCTCCGGAAGTCGCTAGTTTGAAACTGATGTAGTGCTTTGGTTACTAGCAGGTCTCTAAAAAACACTTAATAACTCCTCTTCGAGCAGTTGTGAAATTGTGAAGAGTGTGACAGAAACCAGAAACTGGTTGTGTTCACCTTCAAAGTAAAAGCTTTGCCTTACCATTGCAACCAACACATTTAAACGATGCAGCTTTTACTCTGAAAGGAATCTTCTGTGTTTACGGTTTTAGTGCCCTTACTCGGAAACTAAATGGAAAGTGTTTACAGAGAATTTTCCATGGAAACTACAGTCAACCGTAGCGATGGGAATTGGATCCAGTACTAACGATTCCTTGGAATCACTAGTCTGCCTGCCTATCGATCCTGTTTATTGGTTCTTGCACTCTCACTAATCAGTTCGTGTGTCGAGTGGCTCTGCCATCACTACAGAAACTAAACTGGTCATGTTGGAGCTTCCACAGCATGTCTTATCCTGTCTACCTTCTCTCACCCCACCCGGTCACAGCAGATGGTCACCCTCCCTGAGCCTGGTTCTGCCGGAAGTTTCTTCCTGTTAAAAGGGAGTTTTTCCTTCCCACTGTCGCCAAAGTGCTTGCTCATAGGGAGTCATATGATTGTTGGGCTTTTCTCTGTATTATTGTAGGGTCTGTCTTACATTATAAAGTGCATTGAGGTGACTGTTGTTGTGATTTGGTGCTGAGTAAATAAAACTGAATTGAAATTGAATTGAACAAGTATTGCACACCAGAGTGAAGATCTTAGAACTGACTGACTGATCATTAATGTTTAGCCTATGTTAGTGAAAAATTTGATGAGAGGTATTTTCCTTTGATCTGTGTTCCTTTGAGCGAACACCGGG